TGAGAAAAATTGTTGAATCAGCCAAATTTTCCAGGTTTATAGTAATATAAATAGAAATTGCGTAGAGAATAAAAAAAATTATAGAAAAAAAAAAAATTATAAAATAAAAATAAATTAAAAATAATAATAATAATATGTATTCTTAACCGAAAAACTAATAACAATATTAATTAGACTAAACTTCCGAGATCTGATGAAAATAATATAAAAATTAATTAACTAAATCATTCAAATTATAGTAATATAACTCAACGGCCTTTGTTTAAATAATGGAAAATGAACGTAACAACTCCCTTTTGCTGAACTGAATGAATGACAGGATGGGACACAAATTGAATTGAATTGACATAATAATAATAGATATACCTGGAACATGGAACATTCCATGCTATGCAAAATTCGTACAATTGAAAACTCTGCATATGCAGTGGAAACATCTGGTTGCACCCTGGCAGTTGGCCAATTTAAACAAAGGAGACTGTTGCACAGAGAGAGGAAGAAAGAGAGACAGGGAGGGAGACACAGAGAGAGAGAGAGAGAGAGAGAGAGTGTGTGTATTCCAGCTCTCTGCCTGCTTCCGTTTGGCTGGATGCAAGCATGTGTGATCGATGGCACGTGAGCCACACACACACACACACACACACACAGAGGGGGTCCCGACACACACACACACACACACAAAATGATCCACGCAGGCAGCTGCCACTGCCGCCTCTGCTGCCGCTGCTGCTGTCACGCGGCATAGACGCAACCACCGTTAGATGCATGTGCCTCTATTTCGAGACTTGTTCAGAGCATCGAATTGTAAATGATGGCACACGTGGCGAACTCCCCCGCAACTCCTGGAATAATTTAACCAAATAAACACGAGGCGCAGCTAAAAATAAAACAAAAAATACAAATGAAACGCCCAAATCAGCAGCAACAACAGCAAAGCAATCCAAAAGGTCACCTTGACAGAGGCCCAGTTAGTTGGGAATGAAGTCGAAAAATTGTATTGGAGAGTGCGTGCGGAGAGAGCGAAAGAGAGGGAGAGAGCGAACGCGAGCAGCGGGCTGCTAACTGAGCCGGCTTGCGCTCGCTCGCAGTTTCACAATGCCGTTTAGGCCATTTCGTCACTCATCCTGACGCCAGCCGCCGCAGCAGCAGTAGCAGCGACTGCGGCAGCAGCAGCAGCAGAGAGCGGAACAGCTACAAAATCCAGCAGCGGCAGCGCCCGTCCAACGAGTCTCGCATCAAGCACAAACAGTTCGCAACGAACGCGCAAAGTGAACGGAACGTCGACGACCTCAACACAATCCAAACAGAGGCGCCCAAACACATATATCCAGTGAATCTTTCCCAGTGTATACCAAACGCCAACAACAACAACAATCACAAGTAAGCAAACTAAACTCTGAGAAGGCAGAAAGCAGACGCTGCAATAAATTGTGGGCCAACATTGTTGAGACATTGCCCCAGACAAAGTGCATTCAACTTGCAAAGCTCGCCCTTGGCCTTGCACACACGCACACACACAGTGAGCACTTCCTCCTAGCAGAGGGGGGGGGCTGGGTTGGCTGGTCTAATTCCAATTGGACGACAATTGCTTTCACTTTCGCTTTCGTTTTCGTTTTTGGCGCATGCGCCGTTAATTCGAATAAACAGCTGTGCGTTCAATTATTTCCCATTTGGAAAACATTTGACTTTGAAAGAAGGTCATTCGCTTTTTGGACACTTGCTACTATATTTTGTGTTTCCATATAATTTGTTTTATCTCTGTGCCGATTTAGTTTAGGGTTTGCAACAGGTAAGCTTCAGCCAAGCTTGACAGACAAAAACTAGATAAAATATTTGCGAATGATCTCACTTTGTTGTGAACTTTCTATAATATATAGCAAATAACTGTATGTTGTCAATTATCTATTATATGGTGACGATTTTAGATAATTTATATGGGAAGTGCAAAGTGAGAGAGGGGTGGTAAGAATGTATAGCTGTTTGAGCCAAGGTGTTTGCAACTAGACTTGGGAAATACCCTATGTGATATTTAGAAAGTGTTTACAACCTATTACTGATCTGCATCAACAGACAGACAATCGAGTCTGAGTGGGCTTCCTCTATAAGTCTTACGACATTGATTACCGACTACACAGGCACAGTGCACACAACAATCGAGTTTTACTGACTACCCGATACTTGTTCACTAAGAGTGCGTAATTTATTTATTTATTTTTTAGGAACTAGGTCATATTGATAAAGGGAATAAGTTATAACATGTAATATACTGTAAAATATTATCAAATGCAAATTTTATAGATTATTAGTCGACTTTATTAGATTACAAATAATATTGTATCAGACATTAAGACACTCTCATCTCTTAAACATAGCCATATATTATTTTACCTTTATCTGTCAGTTAACGAGTGTATAAACTCTATGAACCCTTCAAATAGAGTATCTTCAAGTGTATCAGCCTTTATCTCTCAGTTAACGAGTATATAAACTCTATGAGCCACCCTCTAACACACTTCACCTTATATGACTTTGTCGTAATGCCCCAAACACTCATAGCCATTAACTTATTAAGAAGTCAGTGAGCTCACGGTTTTTTTTAATTCATAATAGACCGCACTTTTAATTAGAAAACTCTCAAGTTCAGGGTAAGGGCAAAACAAAAAAAGAATTCTCAACAGTTATGGGGCATTTCTAATTAAAAACGTGCACAGAACAGGGAGAGCACTATTCGTAATAAAGAGATAAGCAGCTGTTGCAATTGCAGCGATATGTGTCCAATCTTATCTGGAAATCTATATTAAATATTTACAGCAAATCAACACGAGCTCAAGCCGGCGCTAAGCGACATTATGACATACATACATATATACATACATACATATATACGAATTAGATCGGTTCAGACTTCCTCATTTGAAGTGTCCAAATAGACCATTCGTAATACCCATTAACGATGCGAATGGGTTATCAAGCGATAAATCAAATAAATACTGATTGCAAATTGTATAAATTCCGCTGCAAGCGTCGAGTCTGAGGAATCGCGGTGTCAATGCGCTAGTCCGTGGAACACAATTCGCTTGAAGGTTTATTTGATAAAAACGCAACGTAGACCCATTAAGGAGTTAATTAGCCCTGATATCACTTGTCACAAGTGCCAGCCAGTCACAAGCGGCTGCCGTATATAAAAAGAGACAGCAGCGCGAAAATTGAGAATTATTTGTGATAGTTTTTTATTTTTTTTTTTTTTTTTTTTTTTCTTTCGGCTATGTTGCGTATTAGTTATGCTCTGAACTCGGCGTGTTGCGTGCTAGGCAGTCGGCAGATTTATATAAATATGACCTTCGTGAAGGTTAAACAGCGCCGACACATAGGTCTGTGTCAATGTCTGTGTGTGTGAGTGTCCCAGGTTTCCGCAGAGCACGTGACATACATAGTTCACTAACACTAATGGATACATACATAAATCTCTGCGAGAGCAGTCGCTAAATTGGCTCAAAATTCTCTTTGCAGCAATGGCCTCCGTTAAGGATAGTCTCTTGGCCCCGGTGGCGGAAACTTTGCCCAGCTCGGGCCACAAGGTCACTGTGGTGGGCATCGGCATGGTGGGCATGGCCAGCGCCTTCAGCATTTTGGCCCAGAACGTCTCCAAGGAGGTGTGCCTCATCGACGTCTGCGCCGACAAGCTGCAGGGCGAGCTGATGGATCTGCAGCACGGCTCAAACTTCCTGAAGAATCCCCAGATCACAGCCAGCACCGACTACGCCGCCTCGGCCAACTCGCGTCTGTGCATCGTGACCGCCGGTGTGCGCCAGAAGGAGGGCGAGTCCCGCCTGTCCCTGGTGCAGCGCAACACCGACATTCTCAAGAACATCATCCCCAAGCTGGTGGAGGTAAGTGAAGCTGCTTCCCACACAGAGTGCCTCAGCTAATCGTTGACTCCTTGTGACCCACAGTACAGTCCCGATACCATTTTGCTGATGGTGTCCAATCCCGTGGACATCATGACCTATGTGGCCTGGAAGCTGTCCGGTCTGCCCAAGAATCGCGTCATTGGCAGCGGCACCAATCTGGACTCGTCCCGCTTCCGTTTCCTGATGTCGCAGCGCCTGGGCGTTGCACCCACCTCCTGCCACGGCTGGATCATTGGCGAGCACGGCGACAGCTCGGTGCCCGTCTGGTCCGGCGTCAACATTGCCGGCGTGCGCTTGCGCGAGCTGAACCCCACCATTGGCACCGGTGAGGATCCAGAGAAGTGGAACGAGCTGCACAAGCAGGTCGTCGATTCGGCCTACGAGGTCATCAGGCTGAAGGGCTACACCTCCTGGGCCATCGGCCTGAGCACTGCCTCCCTGGCCTCGGCCATCTTGAGGAACACCAGCAGCGTGGCTGCCGTCTCCACGTCCGTCTTGGTAAGTGTCTGGAAGAGATTGCCTCTATATGAAAGAAGACTAGCCTAACCTTCTCTCTCTCTCTCTCTCTCTCTCTCGCTCTCTTCTTTTAGGGCGAGCACGGCATTGACAAGGACGTGTTCCTCTCGCTGCCCTGCGTGCTGAATGCCAACGGCGTCACCTCCGTGGTCAAGCAAATCCTGACCGATGACGAGGTGCAGCAGCTGCAGAAGTCGGCCAACATCATGGCCGATGTGCAGGCCGGTCTGAAGTTCTAAGCTCAAAGTCTACGCAGAACGCATCACCAGCAGAGAGAGCTAATCCTTAGTCGAATTCGTAACAGGCACGCCCCCTTTATAGTTTTGGGAGGGAGCGATGCTAGTGAAGCAGAAAGTATTTTTGACTACCAAAATGTTTATTTTAAGTCGTTCACTCAGTTTATTTATTATTTTAATTTCTTTTTGTGTTCGTTACAAATAAATTTGTAAAATCTAAGTTCTATTTTAAACAAGAGAAGAGAATTTATTTTTGTTTCGATAACTTATTTATTATTGCCTAGTTTTAGATAGATTTGATGGTAATTCCCCTAAGGAGGGGAGTTCCAAAGCAGCCGCCGCTACCTCATTAGCATAAATTGTTGGCAATTGTCAAATTTATAGCAAGAGTATATATGTATCTAGTAAAATTTACATTTAGCACCTAGTTGTCTTTTCGCACTCACTTTATATACATATATACATATGTGTATATCGATAACTGTATAATCAAGAGCAAAAACTACTTCAATGAAACTTATCAGCGCAAGCAGCTACCAAAAACAAGCGTTTTCTTCTTGTGGCACGATCCGCGCTAATCGATCGACTGCGAATCTGTTGCTAGATATAGATATGTACATACATATAATGATCGGCCGACTTATCGTTAACAGCCCGCGAAACGTGCAGTGGCAAAAATGCTTATCTGGCTCTCGCCGCTCACCGCTCGCCACTCGCCGCTCGACTCGGGAGACGAGTCGACTCGAATCGAGTCTGCAGACAACTGCCAGACAGAGCCGACAGAGCGGACAGAGTCGCATCCAATCGAACGTGCTGCAGTCAGCGGTAGATCAAACTGTAAACGAAAACTGAAATTCTGTGGCCAGATAAGCGCTTCAGCTGGCCGGAGCGATAAGCGTCTTGGCTTGGCTATAAAATCGCCCAGTTAGCCGTTGAGCTGCAGCAGTCGTCACAATGCAGCAAGCAACGAGCTGGAGAAGATGGCTCTGCGGACTATGTCTGATCTCGATCTGGCGGCATTCGGAGTCGACGGCCAGCATAGATCGCATACAGAAGCACAATTTGGAGCTGCTGTCGCAGCAGCTGAATCGCGGCTGGCGTGCATTCTGTAAGTTGATTCTGGCCGAGATTGGGCAATCAGTTCGCTAATAGCTTCCGTCCAGGTGATGCGCCCGTCGACGAGGGCGTCATGGCGCTCTACGAGGGCATCAATCCCAGCGATGCGCGCCTGCACGTGATGACCATCACCAATCAGAGCATTCAGCTGCCCATCAAGTCGATGCCGGAGCTGCGCGATTTCGACATCAATCCGCAGCGCAAGACTCTCATCTATGTGAATGCGTTCCACACCGCCGACAGTTATTTCAGCGTGCAGGAGCACCTGACGCTGTTGCAGACGACGCGTCGGGACCTCAACATCATCATCGTGGACTTCGCCACGAACGTGGCCCAGCTGTACTACACAGTGCGGCATCATCTCTCCGTGCACGGCTACTCCATCTACAAGCTGCTCAGCTCGCTGACGGATGCGGGCATTGCGCCGGAGGACATTACGCTGGCGGGGCATTCGGTGGGCGCAAATATTGCTGCGCTGGGCGCTGATTTGTTTGCCAAGAGCAGCAAGCGGCAGGTGGGTCAGCTGATCGCCATCGATCCAGCCACCATGTGCCGCACCACCGACATACTCGTCCGGCACAATGTGGCGGCGCGTGTGGTGGTGCTGCACGGCGAGGGCGACGTGTTTGGTGTGCGTGTGGCGCTGGGCCACGTGGACATCTATCCCAATGGCATCGGCTACTTTCCGCGCAAGAAACTGCAGCCGGGCTGCGACAGCAAGATCTGCAGTCACATGTACCCATTCGTGTTGTTCATGGAGGCGCTCATCGAGGGCGTCATGATACCAGCCACCAAGTGCGAGAACTGGGCCAAGTTCAGGCAGGGCGATTGCAGCTTCGAGAACACGATCAACATCGGCCTCATCTATCCGGCCAATGCGAAGGGCCTGTACTTCTGCATGACTCAGCCGAATCCTCCGTTCACCTACATGGAGCACGGCTTGAGGTATCGGGCAAAGCAGCCAGAGAAATCAAAATCACATAACGCTTGAAATGCTGTTGAATGGAATTAAACTAGGAGATAACTTGTTCTAATATTATTAACTTGATTGTAAGCTAGATATAAGTTAATTTATTCTATAGATGTATATCAATTATCCATTTTTCATATTTATGAAGATGAAGATATTTGAAAAGTTTAAGCTATTATTGTACAACTGTTGTCTTTTTTCATATATTTAAATATATATATAGTAAAGGCCAATTTTTATTAAATTTGAAACAGTTTTAAAAATAATTACCTAAAAGTATGCAATGATTTTTATGCGTCTTCTGCCAAATTTTGTTTAAACATTGATATGATCATGAGATTAAACAGGCTTTTATTTACAACTATTCGTAAATATTATTTTTTGTTCTGGGTATACAAATATTAATTTGAAACTAGACTAAGACAACCACTTAAAAGTAAAAAAATATAAACATTATATATAATCTTTTAAGACAAATATTATTTTTATTATTCACGTTGCATTAACTTTAAGTTATTTATCAATTAGGTATATTTTATATTAATTTAAAGTATTTATAAATCTATATTATTACTATTTGATCATTTCGTATCGCTCTTAAGCTTCATTTATCCAATTTCCAGTTCATTTTTGTATTAGACTGCAGCCCTGACTTTAAGCTTAACTCCGCAAAACTCATTGATTGTTACGCTCTCACACTCTTTTGCTCCCACACACATTCGTTCTCACCCTCTCACTCACTCTCTCTCTCTCTCACACACACTCATTATCTGCTTGGTCAGTCCATTGCTGGCTTACGAAGTAAAAACAGCTGATGCATAAGCTGCATACAAAGCACACACACGCACACACACACACTCTCACACAGAATAAAACTGAGACAAACTCACATAGAGAGCGCCAATGCATGCTCAGCTACGCTGCACTGCTCACACACACGCACACACTCTTCAGAGGTAGCGGGAGCGCAAGTTTTGTCTACCTGTTGCGAACGAAAAAAAAAAATAAAAAACGTAACTGAGCCTCAGCGCTGTTAAAAATGTGAGTTAAGAGACGCCTGTGCTCGGGTCTGGAGCGCAGTTTAGTTGAGTTTAGCGTGCCGTCAGGTTGCGACCGTCGCCGCTCGGAATCGAAATCGAAATCGAACTCAAACTCGAAGTCGAACTCGGGCATCGGAGCGAGCTGCCCAGCGATAAACCCGTCGTCGGTATGTTACAAAGCCAAAGCTGAAACTGAAGCTGTAGCTGAAGCTGAGGCTGAAGCCTCTCGCCTCGTTGATCGTGCGGAACAATCAAACTAGCAAAACAAAATTAACCAAAAAACAGACTTTTTGTTGTTGTTTTTGTATAAACAACTAAATAAATGTCTAAGCAGTTGAGTGTGATGGACACGCACGCATATATTTAAATAAATATTGAACACGCGTTCTGTATGTTAAAATCAACGAGAAGAAAAATGCGCAAGTGCAGTATATAAATAAAATATATAGAAATATATATCTAAATACATATATGTGTATGTATGTGAGATCGCGCAAGATCTGCCTGGTCAGCATAACTCACAGCGACAGCTGCTTAAGCCCAATCGCCACAGAGCTTCAGATACACGTAGCCGATGCGTGTATCTATTAGCTACGAGTCTCTGTGTATCGGTATCTGTATCTGTAGACGTAGCCATAGCTGTGTGTCTGTGTCTGTATCTGTATCTGTATCTGTTGCTGTAATCGTGAGCGCGTGTCTGCAGCACGTTATGCCACTCAAGCCAAGCATAAAACTCTGCTTGGCCAGCTCTTTAAGGTGTCGGCATTTACAGAACGCTCGCTGCTCGCTGCCAAATTTGGCAGCAATTTTTCAATTGAAAATGTGAAAATGAGCTGGAAAACTGACATCAGACCCGACCGAGTCATAACAAAAGCAATAAAACAGAAATTGAAAGCCAATTTCAATTAAGCAATTACATGCGGTAATGCAACCGAAATACAATAAAAATGATATTAAAAACTCAACAGCAGTAAAAATAATGCAATAAATTGAAAAATATATATAAAAATACAGATATTACAATCAGTAAATTATAAAATAAATTTATTCAATAAAAAAAAAAAATAAATGTAAATTTATACAGACTTAAGCAAAAATCTATAAGTAAATTAATCAGAAATGACTAAAAGGTTTTTGTAAATTATTGCAAGCGAAAATACAAATTCGGTTAGGTATTAAAAATAAACCGTTTTAAAAATATATACACATAAATCAATGTTTGAGCAAATGATAAACACAAGATAATGGAAATAAAAATAAATTATATAGGAATACAAAATAAGCGCCGGTAAATAAATAAACAAACCAACATTATTTAAAATACAGGAACATGAAAAAATATATAAATGTTTGAGAATTAAATAGTTTAGGAAAATTACAAAATAAATATATTAAAAAATGTTTATCAATAAATGTTTAAAAAATACTAAATAACATCTAACAAAGATTTATTAACGTAACTAAAAGGTAAATACATAAGTTTAAATTTAATGTAATCCATAAATAATTCAAATACTTGAACAGAAAAAAAAAGTAATTCCAATTAATTAAAATGCAAATCTATTAATTGCAATATCATACAAAAATTAATTAGATGTGACTAAAAAGCAATTATTAGATTAAAATGCAAATATCAATTTCAACACTTCTAATGCCTTTTAATATATGTGAACTAACAAAAAAAGCCTCAGATTTAATGGCCACATTTGCAGCTTGAAATTTGAATAGTTTAATGAGCACGTTAATTTGGAATTAATTAAAGCAAATACATTTATGGAATCTAACAAATAAATAACAAGCCGAACGCAGAAAAGTTTCTATCAGCTTTTATTGTGTGCTAATCAAGCTATAAAAAATAAGTGGAAAAAAACTCCCACTGTTCAAAGTCGGGCCAAGAGAACGGCTCAACAAAAAAAAGTGCAAGTGCGCATATTTCGAGTGGGAAAAATATAACTATATAGTATCTCTATATATTAAACTCTCTATATATGTACGCATATATGTAAAAGCTTATTTAACTCAAATTCAGTCATTGTGTAAACGAATTGCGAGCGTCTCATATTTGTTTCTTTTATAAGCAACTCGATTCGCGTCAAAGAAAGTGAAAAGCGCGCTGCTTGGCTGTGGCACATATTTGAATAAAATTCGTCATCGATCAACGTCTCTCGAATGTTTGCTTTGAGGCCATGGCCAGCATTTCTTTGCAGCAGGAGCAGGGGATGGGGGTACAGCCGGGCGTATACGCAATTGCAATTTGTAGCCCACGACAGTTTCTTATCTCATAACTCTTGAGCAACTGTCAAGTCAAAAAAGTTTTGTTGATCTATCGCAATGTTTAGCTGTCCTCCAGCTGTCGTCAGACATCTTTGAGACAGTTTAGAGGCTTATCTTTAACTGCAGAGTTTTATTGTTTATTATTTTTTGTCTAAGGGGTCAATGCTGAGTTTTAAAAGAGAATAGCGCAGTAGCAAAGAGAGAGAGAGAGAGAGAGAGAACATTGAAAACAATTACAATAGATAAGTTGATGCCTTATAGCAGCTAATATGCATAGCTAATTTGGTAGTGAGCACGTACCTGGCCTAAAAACAGCTGAAAACTCGTAAAATAAATTTATAGTCAGATGGAAATAAAAGTTATAAAATTACAAAATATATCCTAGAACTATATACGGTATTTGGATGATCTGTAGAAGATCAGTGGGATACCTATAGTAGATCTGTAGAAGGTCTCTAGAGGATCTGTAGAAGATCTCTATAAGATCCGTAGAAGATCTCTAGACGATAGATATATAGAAGATCTATGGATATTACAGTATATATAAATTCGCAACGAGAAGTGTGTCAAGAGGTATTGGATGGTGTTGGACAGGCTGCTAACGATTTACAGAGACAAGGCGTAATTAATAAGACGGCATGACTAAATTCAAGATGCTATGCATATGCATACAGCCAGCAGAATGCCAGCACAAGTAACCGGTTAGCTGTTACCAGTTAGTGACTGTAACTATTCAAGCTGCCTATATATACATATATAGGTATATTCATGGAGTTATTCAGATACAGACTTCGAGTAGATACACTGTCACTGTCAACGGTCTCTGTTTATCAACGAAATTAACGCGACTTAGTGAAAATTCAGCTTCCTCTCTATCCCAGCGGCATGCGGGCATGGAACCTGTTTTCAGCAATGAATATTGACGGTCAGATAAATATGTTATGCAAATATTTGCAGCTTTTAAGGTGCTCAAAAGATACCTGACTAGGCGAGACAAAGCTATATAAATATAACTGCAGGGCAACAGGTTTACGTTACGAATTCAAATGCGTGAATTCAAGTGAATATCACAAATATTCATAAACAGCACAACTAATACAACTCCGATCAGCTTCAGCCAGCCTCAGGCAGTTCAATTAATCAAAATGGGGGGAGGAACAAAAGCTCAAAGCAGAAGCAGCAACTGCTCAAAAACAAAAATTCGAAATCGGAGACGTAGATATATGAAATATAAAAAAATATATATCTATATATACTGTTCGACAATCTCAAGGTTTTCAACAGAAAATACCCAAAAAAAAAAAGCTCTCCATTAATGAGTTAACAGAAATGCTTACTTTACAAGTGAGAGTGTATGTGAGTGTACATGATTGTGTGTATGTGTGTGTGAGTATATATGTATGTATTTGAGGGGAAATCCTGTCCATAAGTGGTTCATTAAGTGCGGATAATAAAACAAAGGCCAACAAGGGCCCAAGGCACAAAAAAGCAGAAAGCAACAAAACAAAGAAAGAATTGGTTTTTTGAAATAAATTCAAATCTTGTAAAATTAAAAAAAAAAGAAAACTTAATAAAATTTCGCCCACAACTAAAGCGCAAAATGTGCATTTTTATGCATGTAAAAAAAAAAGCAAATAAAATGTAATAAAATTTCAAAAAAATAACAAAAGAAAATACAATAAAAGACAAAGCAACAGAAAATAACCGTCCAATTGTTCGAAACGTGCTGGAATTTAAGTAAAGTAAATTGTTGTTGTTGCTGTTGTTTTTTTTTTTATTTATTGTAATTATTTTGTTTGCAGTGTATTTGCATGAGCTGCACTTGTGTTGGTGAATAATTTTACAGTTATTTGAACGTGTGTGTCGCGCTTGTCGCTCTCACTTATTGTTTTTCAGCAGAAGAAGACGCAGTTAACGAATTCACCTGCTT